CCCCCCCCCCCCCCCCCCCCCCATCTGCCATTTTCACCTCCGCCGTCGAGCCATCAACTGTACATATGTGTAACTTTTTTTCAATTGAAATGATTTTTTTTTTTTTTGCATTCTTATTTAATATTGAAATACTATTAAAAATTTATTGAAGAATTAATAATAAAAATACCATAATATTATAAGATTAGGAAAAATTGATTTTATTGTATAAACGACTAATTAAAAACATTATTTCTGAAAATACAATACATGTTTAATTATTTTTTACATATTTTTTATTTTTAATAATTACAAAATAATGAAATAAATTATATTTATTTAATTAAAAAAACTCTTTAATAAAATTTGGTATAGTCAAATTAGTTATAGTGTTTTTCATTAAAAAAATTAAAATAAAGAAATAAATAATATTTACGAATACAATATAATGTACTAATTCCTAGAAACCCTCCTATGGTATTTTTGTCATTTCAAATTTTTAGTACATTTATCGAATTCAATATTATTTGGACAGAATTGTAAGAGTAAAGTGATATTGGGGTTAAACTAACAATATATGTAAACAAAAGGAGTAGAAGTGCATGATCATGTGCCTCACACAGTGACTTTTCCGTCCAAACTAAGAACAATTTCAAACGGTGGACGAAATTGTAAAAAAAACTGGTTTTTTTGAGGACCAATTTCGTGCCAGAAAAGTTTTGAGGACCAAAATCGAAAAAAATATGTATAGTATAGGAACCAAAACTGTAATTATCCCACGTATCGTGTATATATGGTGGAATTTATTGCATGCATTTATTATGATTCACGGGCAGAAAAAGTTTTTCTAATTGGGTGTGTGTTTTATACTATGATATATTAACTAATACACAACTTCTTAGTTCACACGATAACATCACGATCGTTTTAGATGCAAGAAACCGCTCCATCCATCGGCAATATATTCTCCTTTTTTACCTTCTCTCATCCACCTCATGTCGACAATTTCGAGCATAAGGTTGTAGTTTACAGTTTTAATTTAAGAAATGTACGATATATAAGTTTTTTCCTGGTCGATTTATTGCTATTTATATGGGGGGGAAAAACATGCACACACAAAGATGACAGAACTTTGTTGAAGAATGTGGTAAGATGAGAAGTTGCCTTCAAATCACGAAAGTACTGGAGAAGCTTACTTACTTTTGATTTTTCAATTTTTTTTTTTTACTTATTTACTGATTTTAACAGCATATGTTACCAGGAACTTATCGTGTCAAACTGACAGTATTCATTTATCATAGACCGCTGGGATGCTGCCTTAGTCACATTCATATTCCTTCGTAATGGCTTTAAGAGCAATACTACGAAAGAAAGATATTTACGTCGATACAAGATTTAGTTAGCATTTTGACATATTCTGGTTTAAATGAATACTCTATTTGTATTATGGTTACATGAAGAAGTTCTTTTTTTTTTCATCGCATAATGTTGAATTTGTTGTTACAACTATTGTTTCTTATTTTCTTCAAAATAGTTGTCATCCCACATGAATTTATACTACTTTATGTCCAAAAAGTTTGATTTTGGTAAAGATGCAGTAGTTCGATAATGTTTCAGTTCTTCTTCATTATCATACGAGCTAGGCTTACTGTACATTTTTTTGGAAATGCTACAGTTATCATACAAGGGCTTACTGTACAATTTTTTAATTCTCTATTTTTCTTCGCCACTAACTGTCAATGTCCGCCGTAGATGTTGAATGACTCTCGAGCAGGCCATTTCTACAAATTTTGATCGAGCTACTAAGAAATTTGAGACAAAATCGATGGCAAAAGTAGTAGATTGAAAATGGGCTTTTGGTCCTAGCTAAATTAATTCCATTTTTCTTTTCTCTGTTGAAAACAAATTTTAGGCGCTTTTGATAAAAATGTTCTTTTTCTATTATGATCGATTAACTTCAATCTGAACTGTTTGTGTCTATGCGTAAAAGGTGTGATTTTGGGCTATTGATGGATGGTTTTAACTCATAGAAGGCATTGATAATAGACTTTGCTTCAATGGTCTTAACTGATTATTATGTTATTATGATCAATGGATATCTTCCATGAGTCAATTTGAAACATGTATAGATCATCTTACAATAAACTGTACAGATCATCTTACAATCTGAATTAAATAGGTGTATTTAATATAAGCTCTACTATTATGATCAGTGTTATTTGTTTTCTTTAACAAAGGCTTATCAAATGTGATATTTTTATGGTAGGACAAAAATATATGCTACAGTAACAGGTCCCTCATGTTAGTAAATTTTTAATACAAGTCAAATAAGGTAATAACACTATATTTTAAATTTCACAGCTAAATATTTTAATATTATTTAATATATAGTTTATTACAATTTTTATTGTCATGTAGTTAAACAATTACTTTCTTTCCCTTTTAGAATGTGACCCCGTGCAACGCACGTGGCACGGTTTCTAGTATATAGTAACAAGAAAAAATGTGCTAAACGATAAGAAAACCCTAATAGGAAAGACATAGATTCTCGCTCTGAGTTTGCCATGCAGAT